AGTCACGGAGGTAGAAAAAATAACAGATCACGACGTTTCGATCGCAAAAAAAGCAACCGTCGTCAGGTGACGGTTGCTTGTGTGTGTGTTTGTATGTGTGTGTCTGTGTGTGTGTCTGTGTGTGTGTTTGTGTGTGTGTCTGTGTGTGTGTCTGTGTGTGTGTCTGTGTGTGTGTGTTTGTGTGTGTGTCTGTGTGTGTGTCTGTGTGTGTGTGTCTGTGTATGTGTTTGTGTGTGTGTCTGTGTGTGTGTCTGTGAGTGTGTCTGTGTGTGTGTCTGTGTGTGTGTTTGTGTGTGTGTCTGTGTGTGTGTGTATCTGTGTGTGTGTCTGTGTTTGTTTGTGTGTGTTTGTGTCTGTGTGTGTGTCTGTGTGTGTGTCTGTGTCTGTGTGTGTCTGTGTGTGTGTGTTTGTGTGTGTGTGTCTGTGTGTGTGTGGGGAGCGGTAGTGTAGCGGTTAGCGCACTGTTGTGTTTGTGTGTGTGTCTGTGTGTGTGTGTCTGTGTCTGTGTGTGTCTGTATGTGTCTGTGTGTCTGTGTCTGTGTGTGTGTCTGTATGTGTCTGTCTGTATGTGTCTGTGTGTCTGTGTCTGTGTGTCTGTGTCTGTGTGTCTGTGTGTGTGTGTATCTGTGTGTGTGTCTGTGTTTGTTTGTGTGTGTGTTTGTGTCTGTGTGTGTGTCTGTGTGTGTGTCTGTGTGTCTGTGTCTGTGTGTGTCTGTGTCTGTGTGTGTTTGTGTGTGTGTGTCTGTGTGTGTATCTGTGTGTGTGTCTGTGTTTGTTTGTGTGTATGTTTGTGTCTGTGTGTGTGTCGGTGTGTGTGTCTGTGTGTGTGTCTGTGTGTGTGTCTGTGTATGTTTGTGTGTGTGTCTGTGTGTGTGTCTGTGTGTGTGTGGGGAGCGGTGGTGTAGCGGTTAGCGCGCTGCGCTATGAACCTGGCGACCCGGGTTCGATTCCCGCTCACGGCTAACACCAGTGACGATTATCTGAACCGGTCCTGGGCCTCCCCTAGGTCGACTCAGCCTTAAATGAGTACCTGGTACGGTGTGTAAACATCGCCACTAGGGAGACAAAGGCGGTCGGGCGTGGTGCTGGCCACCCACCCCCTCGTGTACCGTTCCGGCCTTCATAGGTGCTCGCTAACAGCACTTGCCCCTACAGTCTGTTAAGGCTATACGGGGGATCTTTGTGTCTTTATCTTTGTGTCTGTGTGTGTGTCTGTATGTGTGTGCTTGTGTGTGTGTGTGTTTGTCTGTGTGTGCTTGTGTGTGTGTCTGTGTGTGTGTATCTGTGTGTGTCTGTGTTTGTTTGTGTGTTTGTGTCTGTGTGTGTGTCTGTGTGTGTGTCTGTGTGTGTGTCTGTGTGTGTGTGTCTGTATGTGTGTGTGTCTGTATGTGTGTGCTTGTGTGTGTGTTTGTCTGTGTGTGCTTGTGTGTGTGTGTCTGTGTGTTTGTCTGTGTGTGCGCACGTGTGTGTGTGTGCCTGTGTGTGTTTGTGTGTGTCTGTGTGTTTGTGTGTGTGTGTCTGTGTCTGTGTGTGTGTCTGTATGTGTCTGTGTCTGTATGTGTCTGTGTGTCTGTGTGTGTGCGTGTGTGTTTGTGTGTGTGTGTGTCTGTGTCTGTATGTGTCTGTGTGTGTGCGTGTGTGTCTGTGTGTGTGTCTGTATGTGTGTCTGTATGTGTGTGTTTGTGTGTGTTTGTGCATATGGCGGTACCCCGGAGTAACGTAGACCCCCCCCCCCCCCCCGGGGTAACGTAGACCCCTCCCCCCGGGGTAACCTAGACCCCTCCCCCCGGGGTAACGTAGACCCCTCCCCCCTGGGGTAACGTAGACCCCTCCCCCCGGGGTAACGTAGACCCCTCCCCCGGGTTAACCTAGACCCCTCCCCCCTGGGGTAACGTAGACCCCTCCCCCCGGGGTAACGTAGACCCCTCCCCCGGGTTAACCTAGACCCCTCCCCCCCGGGGTAACGTAGACCCCTCCCCCCGGGGTAACATAGACCCCTCCCCCCGGGGTAACGTAGACCCCTCCCCCCGGGGTAACCTAGACCCCTCCCCCCTGGGGTAACGTAGACCCCTCCCCCCGGGGTAACATAGACCCCTCCCCCCGGGGTAACGTAGACCCCTCCCCCCGGGGTAACGTAGACCCCTCCCCCCTGGGGTAACGTAGACCCCTCCCCCCGGGGTAACGTAGACCCCTCCCCCCGGGGTAACCTAGACCCTCCCCCCAGGGTAACATAGACCCCCCCCCCCGGGGTAACCTAGACCCCTCCCCCCGGGGTAACATAGACCCCTCCCCCCCCCCGGGGTAACGTAGACCCCTCCCCCCGGGGTAACATAGACCCCTCCCCCCCCCGGGGTAACCTAGACCCCCCCCGGGGTAACGTAGGTACGCGTGCGTACGGGGAAGAGGGGGGTAGGGGGTCAAGTTTTGACGGATGTTTTTGTGTAAATACGAAATGGATGACCCCTAAAAGTACACCCCTGGGGGGAAAAATGTATAAAGTCTCCCAGAAATAAAATATGTAATTGCCTCAGATATAGAATATTTAATTGCCTCAGAAAAAACATTGAATTGCCTCATTTAATCAAAAATAACATGTTTAATTTCCTTAGAAAAAAAACATTTGCCTCAGAAATAACATTTAATTGCCTCAGAAATAACATATTTAATTGCCTCAGAAATAACATTTAATTGCCTCAGAAATAACATATTTAATTGCCTCAGAAATAAAATATGTAATTGCCTCAGAAATAACATGTTTAATTGCCTCAGAAATAACATATTTAATTGCCTCAGAAATAACATATTTAATTGCCTCAGAAATAAAATGTTTAATTGCCTCAGAAATAACATGTTTAATTGCCTCAGAAATAACATATTTAATTGCCTCAGAAATAACATGTTTAATTGCCTCAGAAATAACATATTTAATTGCCTCAGAAATAACATATGTAATTGCCTCAGAAATTACATATTTAATTGCCTCAGAAATAACATATTTAATTGCCTCAGAAATAACATATGTAATTGCCTCAGAAATAACATGTTTAATTGCCTCAGAAATAACATATTTAATTGCCTCAGAAATAACATGTAATTGCCTCAGAAATTACATATTTAATTGCCTCAGAAATACAACATTTGCCTCAGAAATAACATATGTAAGTGCCTCAGAAACAAAATATTTAATTGCCTCAGAAATAACATTGAATTGCCTCAGAAATAACATATGTAATTGCCTCAGAAATAACATATGTAATTGCCTCAGAAATAACATATTTAATTGCCTCAGAAATAACATATTTAATTGCCTCAGAAACAAAATGTTTCATTGCCTCAGAAACAAAATGTTTAATTACCTCAGAAATAACATGTTTAATTGCCTCAGAAATTACATGTTTAATTGCCTCAGAAACAACATGTTTAATTGCCTCAGAAATAACATGTTTAATTGCCTCAGAAACAAAATGTTTAATTGCCTCAGAAATAACATGTTTAATTGCCTCAGAAATAACATATTTAATTGCCTCAGAAACAAAATGTTTAATTGCCTCAGAAATAACATATTTAATTGCCTCAGAAATAACATATTTAATTGCCTCAGAAACAACATGTTTAATTGCCTCAGAAATAACATATTTAATTGCCTCAGAAATAACATATTTAATTGCCTCAGAAATAACATATTTAATTGCCTCAGAAACAAAATGTTTCATTGCCTCAGAAATAACATTTAATTGCCTCAGAAATAAAATATTTACCTCAGAAACAAAATGTTTAATTGCCTCAGAAATAACATGTTTAATTGCCTCAGAAATAACATATTTAATTGCCTCAGAAATAACATGGAATTGCCTCAGAAATAGCATTTAATTGCCTCAGAAATAAAATATTTACCTCAGAAACAAAATGTTTAATTGCCTCAGAAATAACATGTTTAATTGCCTCAGAAATAACATGTTTAATTGCCTCAGAAACAAAATGTTTAATTGCCTCAGAAATAACATATTTAATTGCCTCAGAAACAAAATGTTTAATTGCCTCAGAAATTACATATTTAATTGCCTCAGAAATAACATGTTTAATTGCCTCAGAAATAAAATATGTAATTGCCTCAGAAATTACATATTTAATTGCCTCAGAAATAACATATGTAAGTGCCTCAGAAACAAAATGTTTCATTGCCTCAGAAATAACATATTTAATTGCCTCAGAAATAACATTGAATTGCCTCAGAAATAACATATTTAATTGCCTCAGAAACAAAATGTTTCATTGCCTCAGAAATAACATATTTAATTGCCTCAGAAATAACATGGAATTGCCTCAGAAATAACATTTAATTGCCTCAGAAATAAAACATTTGCCTCACAAATAACATGTTTAATTGCCTCAGAAATAACATGTTTAATTGCCTCAGAAATAACATGTTTAATTGCCTCAGAAATAACATATTGAATTGCCTCAGAAATAACATATTTAATTGCCTCAGAAACAAAATGTTTCATTGCCTCAGAAATAACATATTTAATTGCCTCAGAAATAACATTAAATTGCCTCAGAAATAACATATTTAATTGCCTCAGAAATAACATTTAATTGCCTCAGAAATAACATGGAATTGCCTCAGAAATTACATATTTAATTGCCTCAGAAATTACATATTTAATTGCCTTAGAAATACAACATTTGCCTCAGAAATAACATATGTAAGTGCCTCAGAAACAAAATGTTTCATTGCCTCAGAAATAACACATTTAATTGCCTAAAATAAAACATATAATTGCCTCAGAAATAACACATTTAATTGCCTCAGCCATTTTATAGTTATTCGGTAGCCCGGGTTACCGCGAAAAGTATCATTTATAGACAGAGAGAGAGAAACAAGAGAGATACACTCGACTGGACGAACAAATGCAAATGATAATAACGATAATAATAATTACAAATCGTAATTGTAGTTTTTTAAAAAAAAAATTTCAGAAACGTTGAGTCGGACTCACCGTGTTCAGTAAAACCAGCCCTCCACCCCGGCCGCCTTTGTCTCTCTCGCTCTCTCTCTCCCTCGCCAAGTTGTGGAGAAGGTTGTCGCCGTCGAACGTCGGAGCAACGTTGGAAAGCGACGTTCCAGCGACGTTCCAGCGACTTTTCACGAGGCTGGCTTCCTCGTCGTATGGAAGAAAGGAAGTCGGAAGTGGCGGCGCGCGGGGGGTGCTGGGAGTGACGTTTCAGGCGGGAAAGGGCGGGAAGGGGGGGGTGGGCCGACGCGCGGCCATCTTGGGTAGGGGTGAAATGAATGAATTATTAAAATGTAGTTTCGGCGAATGAATAAATGAATGAATGAATGTATTTGAATGTATAAATCGCCTGATTTTTAGTTTTCGTGAAATAAAAAAGAAGGGGAAAGCCCCAAAAAAAGTAAAAGGACATTGACGTTTATTTATATTAAAGTCAAATATATTATTTTGTTTGTGTGTATGTAGGTACTGTGTCGCCATGTTGGGTAGGGGAAACGAAACTGCTGAGCAGACGCCGCCATCTTGGGTAAGGGAATCTCAACGATAGATGAGCAAGACGCCGCCATGTTGGGTAGGGAAATCGCAACGGTAGATGAGCCAGACGCCGCCATGTTGGGTAGGGGAATCTCAACGGTAGATGAGCCAGACGCCGCCATGTTGGGTAGGGGAATCTCAACGGTAGATGAGCCAGACGCCGCCATGTTGGGTAGGGGAATCGCAACGGTAGATGAGCCAGACGCCGCCATGTTGGGTAGGGGAATCGCAACGGTAACTGAGCAAGACGCCGCCATGTTGGGTAGGGGAATCTCAACGGTAGATGAGCCAGACGTCGCCATGTTGGGTAGGGGAATCGCAACGGTAACTGAGCAAGACGCCGCCATGTTGGGTAGGGGAATCTCAACGGTAGATGAGCCAGACGTCGCCATGTTGGGTAGGGAAATCGCGACGGTAGATGAGGAAGACGCCGCCATGTTGGGTAGGGGAATCTCAACGGTAGATGAGCCAGACGCCGCCATGTTGGGTAGGGGAATCTCAACGGTAGATGAGCCAGACGCCGCCATGTTGGGTAGGGGAATCGCAACGGTAACCGAGCAAGACGCCGCCATGTTGGGTAGGGGAATCTCAACGGTAGATGAGCCAGACGCCGCCATGTTGGGTAGGGGAATCTCAACGGTAGATGAGCCAGACGCCGCCATGTTGGGTAGGGGAATCTCAACGGTAGATGAGCAAGACGCCGCCATGTTGGGTAGGGGAATCGCAACGGTAGATGAGCCAGACGCCGCCATGTTGGGTAGGGGAATCTCAACGGTAGCTGAGCAGACGCCGCCATCTTGGGTAAGGGAATCTCAACGATAGATGAGCAAGACGCCGCCATGTTGGGTAGGGGAATCTCAACGGTAGATGAACCAGACGCCGCCATGTTGGGTAGGGAAATTGCACCGGTAGCTGAGCAGACGCCGCCATGTTGGGTAGGGGAATTGAAACTGTGCTGAGCAGACGCCGCCATGTTGGGTAGGGAAATCGCGACGGTAGATGAGGAAGACGCCGCCATGTTGGGTAGGGGAATCTCAACGGTAGCTGAGCAGACGCCGCCATCTTGGGTAGGGGAATCTCAACGATAGATGAGCAAGACGCCGCCATGTTGGGTAGGGGAATCTCAACGGTAGCTGAGCAGACGCCGCCATCTTGGGTAGGGGAATCTCAACGATAGATGAGCAAGACGCCGCCATGTTGGGTAGGGGAATCGCAACGGTAGATGAGCCAGACGCCGCCATGTTGGGTAGGGGAATCTCAACGGTAGATGAGCCAGACGCCGCCATGTTGGGTAGGGGAATCTCAACGGTAGATGAGCCAGACGCCGCCATGTTGGGTAGGGGAATCTCAACGGTAGCTGAGCAGACGCCGCCATGTTGGGTAAGGGAATCTCAACGATAGATGAGCCAGACGCCGCCATGTTGGGTAGGGGAATCTCAACGGTAGATGAGCCAGACGTCGCCATGTTGGGTAGGGGAATCTCAACGGTAGATGAGCCAGACGCCGCCATGTTGGGTAGGGGAATCTCAACGGTAGATGAGCCAGACGCCGCCATGTTGGGTAGGGGAATCTCAACGGTAGATGAGCCAGACGTCGCCATGTTGGGTAGGGGAATCGCAACGGTAACTGAGCAAGACGCCGCCATGTTGGGTAGGGGAATCTCAACGGTAGATGAGCAAGACGCCGCCATGTTGGGTAGGGGAATCTCAACGGTAGATGAGCCAGACGTCGCCATGTTGGGTAGGGGAATCGCAACGGTAACTGAGCAAGACGCCGCCATGTTGGGTAGGGGAATCTCAACGGTAGATGAGCCAGACGTCGCCATGTTGGGTAGGGGAATCGCAACGGTAGCTGAGCAAGACGTCGCCATGTTGGGTAGGGGAATCTCAACGGTAGATGAGCAAGACGCCGCCATGTTGAGTAGGGGAATCGCAACGGTAACTGAGCAAGACGCCGCCATGTTGGGTAGGGGAATCTCAACGGTAGATGAGCCAGACGCCGCCATGTTGGGTAGGGGAATCTCAACGGTAGCTGAGCAGACGCCGCCATGTTGGGTAAGGGAATCTCAACGATAGATGAGCCAGACGCCGCCATGTTGGGTAGGGGAATCTCAACGGTAGATGAGCCAGACGTCGCCATGTTGGGTAGGGGAATCTCAACGGTAGATGAGCCAGACGCCGCCATGTTGGGTAGGGGAATCTCAACGGTAGATGAGCCAGACGCCGCCATGTTGGGTAGGGGAATCTCAACGGTAGATGAGCCAGACGTCGCCATGTTGGGTAGGGGAATCGCAACGGTAACTGAGCAAGACGCCGCCATGTTGGGTAGGGGAATCTCAACGGTAGATGAGCAAGACGCCGCCATGTTGGGTAGGGGAATCTCAACGGTAGATGAGCCAGACGTCGCCATGTTGGGTAGGGGAATCGCAACGGTAACTGAGCAAGACGCCGCCATGTTGGGTAGGGGAATCTCAACGGTAGATGAGCCAGACGTCGCCATGTTGGGTAGGGGAATCGCAACGGTAGCTGAGCAAGACGTCGCCATGTTGGGTAGGGGAATCTCAACGGTAGATGAGCAAGACGCCGCCATGTTGGGTAGGGGAATCGCAACGGTAACTGAGCAAGACGCCGCCATGTTGGGTAGGGGAATCGCAACGGTAGATGAGCAAGACGCCGCCATGTTGGGTAGGGGAATTGGCTGTGTCGGGTGGTGGGGGGTTTAGCGACACAGACATCTTTATATTTACACGCGATCTTAGCCCGACAACTTCTGTCACGGTTGCGAAAGCACCACTCGTGCTGTTACCGCTGTGTCCAACGCCTCTCTCGCCCACATACAGAAATGTGCAAATATTCACAGTTCGTAGTGGGTGGGTGAGTGGGTGAGTGAGGAGTTGAGTGTGTGGGTGAGTGAGTTAGTGAGTGGGTGAGTAAGTGAGTGGGTAAGTGAGTGGGTGGGTGAGTGAGTGAGTGGGTTAGTGAATGAGTGGGTGGGTGAGTGGATTAGTGAGTGAGTGGGTGGGTGACTGAGTGAGTGAGTGGGTGAGTGAGTGAGGAGTTGAGTGTGTGGGTGAGTGAGTGAGTGGGTGAGTAAGTGAGTGGGTGAGTGGGTAAGTGAGTGAGTGAGTAGGTAAGTGGGTGAGTGGGTTAGTGAGTGAGTGGGTGAGTGAGTGAGTGGATTAGTGAGTGAGTGGGTGGGTGACTGAGTGAGTGGGTGAGTGAGGAGTTGAGTGTGTGGGTGAGTGAGTGAGTGGGTTAGTAGGTGAGTGAGTGGGTTAGTGGGTGAGTGAGTGAGTAGGTGAATGGGTGGGTGAGTGAGTGGATGGGTGAGCGAGTGGATGAGTGAGTAAGTGGGTGAGTAAGTAGTTGAGTGGGTGCGTGGGTGAGTGGGTGGGTGAGTGAGTGGGTGAGCGAGTGGGTGAGTAAGTTGGTAAATGGGTGAGTGAGTTGGTAAATGGGTGAGTGAGTGGGTGAGCGAGTGGGTGAGTGAGTGGGTAAGTGGGTGAATGGGTGAGTGGGTGAGTGAGTGAATAAGTGGGTGAGTGAGTAGGTGAGTGGGTGAGTGCGTGGATGAGTGGGTTAGTGCGTGGGTGAGTGAGTAGTTGAGTGTGTGAGTGCATGGGTGAGTGAGTGGGTGAGTGAGTGGGTTAGTAGGTGAGTGAGTGAGTAGGTGAATGGGTGGGTGAGTGAGTGGGTGAGCGAGTGGGTGAGTGGGTGAGCGAGTGGGTGAGTGAGTGAGTAAGTGGGTGAGTAAGTGGGTGAGTGAGTAGGTAAGTGGGTGAGTGAGTAGTTGAGTGTGTGAGTGCGTGGGTGAGTGGGTGGGTGAGTGAGTGGGTGAGCGAGTGAGTGGGTAAGCGGGTGAGTGAATGGGTGAGCGAGTGGGTGAGTGAGTGGGTGAGCGAGTGGGTGCGTGAGTGGGTAAGTGGGTGAGTGAGTGGGTGAGTGAGTAAGTGGGTGAGTGAGTGAGTAGATGAGTGGGTGAGCGAGTGGGTGAGTGAGTGGCTGGGTGAGTGCGTGGGTGAGTGAGGAGTTGAGTGTGTGGGTGAGTGGGTAAGTGGGTGAGTGAGTAGGTGAGTGGGTGAGCGAGTGGGTGAGTGAGTGGCTGGGTGAGTGCGTGGGTGAGTGAGGAGTTGAGTGTGTGGGTGAGTGAGTAGGTGAGTGAGTTGGTAAGTGGGTGAGTGAGTGGGTGGGTGGGTGAGTGAGTGGGTGAGCGAGTGGGTGAGTGAGTGAGTAAGTGGGTGAGTAAGTGGGTGAGTGAGTAGGTGAGTAGGTGAGTGGGTGAGTGAGTGAGTGCGTGGATGAGTGGGTTAGTGCGTGGGTGAGTGGGTGGGTGAGTGAGTGGGTGAGCGAGTGAGTGGGTAAGCGGGTGAGTGAATGGGTGAGCGAGTGGGTGAGTGAGTGGGTGAGCGAGTGGGTGAGTGAGTGGGTAAGTGGGTGAGTGAGTGGGTGAGTGAGTAAGTGGGTGAGTG